TGGTCAGTGACCACCTTCCTTTCCCCGCTTTCCCACAACTTGCCTTGCCTTCCCTCCCGCACCTTGCCCCACCTTCCTCCACCTTGCCCCGCCTTCCCCCACCTTCCGCTGCCTCCAATCCCCCACCTTCCCCTGCCTTCAACCCCCCACCTTGCTCTGCCTTCCCTTCTGCACCTTCCCCCGCCTTCAATCCCTTGCCTTCACCTTTCTCGACCTTTTGGCTAAGATCAAGTGTAGTATCTGTTCTGATCAATATAATATCTGAACCGTGGCCCATTGGGCCGCTAAAATAAAAAATAAAAATAAATAAAATCCTKCCACCTTCCTTTCGCCGCCTTCCCGCACCTTGCCCCGGCTTCCCAAACGTTGACAACTTGTAGCTGCTCCTCCATCCCAAGATTCTTGCGCAGACTTTCCCCTGTAGAATCTTGTCTTGTGCGCAATTTGAAAGGGAGGCTTGCGCGCCCAACAGCCGCTCCGAGCTCTCAGGGCGCACCTCCTTGAGATCCCAATCCACACTTATCTTGTAGGGAGGGGAGAGCAAAAAAACAGACTTATCCCTGTTTATAGATGCCTCTGATAACATACAATACTCATCTAATACTATCCTTAGTTCTGTGAGGGCCGACTGCGAATTTTCACAGGCTACTATGAGGTCATCCGCAATGGCCCCCCCCTTCCAGTGAATGGAGGGGGGCAACTCCAAACCCCTCATCCCCAGGTTATGTCTTATATTATCTACTAACACCTTTAGCTGAAGAACAAATATAAGAGGAGCCAGGGGGAAGCCCAGGCGCAGAGATCGCGTAAGCTTAAAATCCTCAGACAATCTGCCGTTGACCAAGACCACAGAGGAAGCCTCTGCGTACATGGCTTTTACACTTTGCATAAAATTAGGGCCAAAGCCCATTTTGCTTAGGTCGTGAACACGAAGGGCCAACCGACTTTATCGTATGCCTTCTCCATATCCACGAGAAGGACTGCGATTTCACGTTTTTCTCTCGAGATGACCTCTAGGGCCTACAGGGTAGTCAGTATGTTGTCGAAAATTGTACGACCTTTAACAAAGGCCCCTTGTTCTGGGCCCACCAGATTGGGCAAGTGCTCCACCAACCTGATAGCCTGGGTTTTGGCTAAAATTTTATATGCCACATTTAACACAGAAATAGGTCTATAGTTCCTAACTTCCGACTTACTTCCCTTCTTGTACAGTAAAGAAACATATCCCTTTAAAAAGTCGGGTGGAAGAGTGTCTCCCTCCCTCATATTATTATACACCTTGCACAAGAAGGGGYCGAAGACTTCCCAGCATTCCATATATACAGTTCCACTGGGAGGCCATCAAGGCTTGGGCACTTTCCTCTTGCCATCTGATTAGCTGCTTTCCTTAGTTCCTCCACCATGAAGGGTTCTTCTAACATTTGTGCCAYTCCTGTCGACAGTCTGACCGTGGTTCTGTCCCAAAATAACGTGTTACTGGATAAGTCTGTGTCACAGGAGTCATATGGTCTTCTTGTGATGACAATGTCACTAAAGTAGTCGAAAGCAAAAAAACACATTGTCTCTATAWCCGTGGCCAGCGACGAACCTATCGCAAATGGATGTGCTAGCTCCCTAATGAGGGATTTAGATTGTCTGAGAATCRGGGAGCGAAACRAAATCTTGGTCATTCTATTGTACCCTATAATCCCCCTGAGTTTCAACCAGTCCAACCATTTGGACTGTTTTCTGACTTCTATTTTTTCTAGTTCCACCATTGTTTGACTTCTTTTTTCAGACYAGTAATAATCARAGAAGGGGTCTCCRCCCATCTCTCTTTCTGCCTGTTCAATTGCTTTTCTCAGTTGTTTTTCCTTCCAGGTCCGAGAGGCAGTTTTCATTCTTGAGAAGTTCATTAGAGCGGCTCTAATTATATTTATCCCTCCTTCCGCCCACTCTAACTGATTCTCGAACAAGTCTCTTGCTTCTTCCCAACAGCGCATTTGGTCTACCACCCACGATTTGATCCCTTCGTCCTTCAAAAGATTAACGTTCAGCCTAAACGGGGGTCTCTCTTTCTCCACTACATCCACCGACATGACTGGTTAGTGATCCGAAAGGGACCCATACAAGATATCCGACCAGCAGCACCTGTCCCACGTGGCTCCTCTAGCGAGTATAGAGTCCAGTCGGCTACGAGGTGCTTGTGCTCTTTTGGAAGGGCGCGGCCCATACCACGAGAACCCATTTGCATCCGAGTTCAAGATCCGGAATACGGCCGTAAGCGCCTGTGATTCTGTAAATTCAGAGAGCATTCCTGCATCCACCCACGCTGGGTGTCTGGACATGGAGTCCAAACCTGGGATCAGAATTGTGTTCCAATCCCCCAACAGAATCAGGTTTTCAGTGTTTGGTACACAGCTGGGGAGATTGACCAGGAATTTCACTCTCTGATTAAGTTCTACCGGGGCGTAGATGAACAGTACTGCCCAATCTTTTTCCCCTAGTTGAAACTTTAACCAGGCAATGCAGCCCTCCGTGTACGAGAAAGAGTCGAGTTCTGTTACATCTAGATTTTTGTCAATTAATACCGCCACCCTCCCGCAAGAGCCAACCGTTGGCGACAAAACGTGTCGGCTGTCCCAAAAGGCCCCGAAGTATCTGATTTTGTCATTCTTAAGCTTCGTTTCCTGCAATCCTATGATCTGCACGTTAGTAGAGTGAATCCACTGATGAAAACGTGATCTTTTGAATCTTCGATTAGTATCCCCTAAACCTCGAATATTCCAGGAGGCAATTCGAAGTTAAGGCGGAAGGACCATCTGGTCGATTCCCGTCGTTTTGTTRGATACGGCTCATGTGGGCTGGCGAGAGGGCCTGSGCCCRRCTCTTTTGGTYTTTCTGYTGTGGGTTCCCGTTTCKGACTGCTGCCACCAGACCTGCAATATTTTCATTAGTKAATCTGTCTTGCAGCCCCACGTGTTTGACCCATTCTRAAACYAGTGCTCCTKGTCTCCCTGTTGGKAGTTGGAGAGSCGACGTCCTTTCAGAYTGATTTGCCAGCAACTCTTGCAAAGGGATCCAATGGACCCTCAAGTCACACCACTTCTCGAAGGAGTCCGTGATCGTTTTGAGGCCCAGTAAGGCAAAGTGAAATACCACCGGGGCCCCTTTATCTACTATCGACAGGTATCGACTCCGTTTAAAGGTGGGCAATGGTACCACCGCCCCCATGTGGTGTAGCACATGTCTCTTTGTCAACTCTGCCACCTCCTCCTCTGTGGGAGTTAAGTTGACCGGAATCACTGGGATTTTCAAAGCTTCGTTGTTTGTCAGTCTAGTAAGTACTAGAGGGCCATTGGGAGGCAAGTCCGAACAGATCAAAGGAATCAGGAACTTCTTGATTGTTCCTTTAGCCCTGTCCGTCCTTATCAATGTTTTCATCGGTTCGGCATGAGATAATTCTTTTCGAGCGGCCCGATAAATGTGACTGCGTTTTCGGCCAGCAACACTCTTGTTCTTCCCTAGCTCAAGTGAGGTTTTTGTCAGCTCTTAGGCGACAATTCCCACCCCTGTATTCTCGTTAATCCTGACCTTTTTGAAGGGGGAGCCCCCTGGGATTGTACTATGGTAAATTGGGTCGTTTGTCGCCCGACCTACCACTATTTGCTTCCTCTGTCCCCCTTTCGTTGACTTCCTTTCCACTAGGCCCTCGTGCTGAAACCCTTCCCCCTTTTCTGAGTCAAACACGTCGTTACAGTATAACTTAGATTTCTCTGCCGCATTACCCTGTGGGAGCAGTGGGAGAATCCACGTAGGCCCTACCGCTTCCTGAGTTATCCCATGGGCGGGAGTCGCGTCTTTGAGTAGGGTCTCCCCTACCACATCCAGCAGATCATCCTCTGATTCGCTCCAAGTACCGCCTAGGATCACTTCTTCCAGACCTTGCTCATCCCATTCCTCGTCGTCTGCTTCCTCCTCTCCTGGAGTATTTCCCATATCCTCGCCGTTTTCCAAAGCCGAACCCTCTGTCGAGGGGTGGCTAGATTCCCCTTTATCTTCTTCCTGTTTATCCTTATCAGCGGGATTCTCTTTACCCCATCCAATATCCGTCATCCTTCTACCATCTTCTTGACCCAGAGGGTCTCTCTCTTCTTCCTCTTCCCTCCCTTCTGGAGTGTCCTCTTCATCCTTCTCCATAGGTTCTTTCCTTCTTTCCTCCACCTCCGTCCCTTCTTTTCCCATTGTCTTTCCATCGTCATTCTCGTCCTCACTTGCTTCGGACCCATTCTTTTCTTCCCCCTTTTCTGACCCTTTTTCCATTTCTGCCTCAGAGTCCTGATCCCCCGTTCTTTCTTGTCCCTCCCCATCCTCTCCTTCTTCCTCCTCCTCCTCCTCGACTTCTGACTYTTTCCTTTTTCGTGTCTTTCGTTCCAATTCCTCCTCTTCATCCTCCACTTCCATTTCACTCTCCTCTTCTTCCGATTCCTCTGAGTCCTCAGAATCCTCAGAATCCTCTTCCTCCTCCTCTTCTTCAGAATCYTCTTTTYGTAACTTGTCCTTATCCTCCCCTTCGGCATCACTCATTTTTGTATCGCTCGCATTGTCACCCTTTTCCTTGGTCCTCTCTTGGACAATTTTCCCATCTTTGACGACTTCCCTATACGGTCTTTTAGGGCGCTGCTTCCATACGACTATCTCTTTGCCCTTATCGGAGGTTGGGAYGGGGTTGGGATTTTTCCCCCTTTCTGTTTCATCCTTCCCATCCTCCCCGKTCCCCCCCCTTGAGCCGGAGACCTTCTCCTTACTTGTCGGCTCCTTCCCCTTATCCTTTCCCCCTTTATTGCCTCCTTTCTTCCCTCCTTGGGCATTGTTAGTCTTCTCCTTCCCGGTGTTTCCTTTTGGTCCCTGTCTTGATCCCTGTTTTTGACCTTTTGGCCGTTGCTTCATTGAGCAGTCTGGATCYCCGGCAAAATGGTAAAAACATYTACAATCAGCACACCATGGCGTATCAACACCTACCACTTCAATCTCTGAATTGCCATGTTCCGCCATATCCACAACGAGCCAAGGCTTGAAGCGGAGTCTTGCGGAAGATACCAGGTCAAATCGCACATTCTGCAATTCCAGACAGCCGGGTTTCCTGAATAATGGGTGTGTTTTCAAAACCGGTCCAAAGGCTTCTTCCACAGCAGTTTCCAGTTCGGGAAGGGCAGCAATTGGAACCATCATGCATCTTATCCAGAAGAAGCTATACCTCATCGATTCCCTCCAAGCTTGTAGCTGCTTCTCGTTCATCCATGGTTGGAAGGTTACAGCGTACGTTTTCCCTTCCACTATGATTCTATCCTGCTTCTTGCGGAGCATGAACGTAGCCACCTGAGTGGAGGCCGACTATGTGTCCTATGAACGGAGAACGGGCGAAATTCAACGCCGTTCAACCCGTTCAACGGGCCTAGGGGGCCCCGTTAAATCGCGTTTAACGAGAAAACGGGGGTGTTCCGTTGAATTTTGAAAAACGGAACAGGCGCGTTGGGCCTCGGACACGTGGCCCTGCGTGCCCAAACATAAAAAACAAGAAAACAAAAAATAAAATATTGACCCCTACTAACAGGGTGGGGTGGCCAAACATGCCCCTCCCTCCCGAAATTCAAACTGCAAGAG